TGCCCGCAGACCGCAGCGGGGCTCAGCTCTCGGTGCCGGGGCTGCACAGCTGAGTCGAGGTGACAGCGGCGCTGGCATCGCAGAGGGGAGCTGGGGAAGGTGTCGAGAGCCCGTGTGGGTGTGTTGTGTAGTGGCACGAGCTGCAAAGGCGCTGCCTCCCCGCCGCCCGGCCCAGCGCGTTCCCCGCCGCAGGCCCTACTGAGTGTCTGACACTTGCTGTGCTTTTTACTTCTATTAGATATTGTCATTTAAACAAAAATAAACAATTGCTAGGACTTGAGAGAGAGTTGCCCTGTGCCTCGAAGGTGTGCAGAAGCACACTGCCGTGTTGCCACTCATTTTACTACATGTCCTGTCCCTAGAGAAGGGAAGGGAAGGTTTGAATCCCTGGATGTACCTGGCTCCCTATGTTCACCCACTCGTGGGGTAGCACTGACTTTTTATCACACGTGCAGGACAAGCTTTGAATCATTCTGTGCATAAAACTGTATGTTTGTAGTTCTTGCCACACGACAAGACTCATTTCCGAGAGGAACAAAAGCCTCTTGGCTGTCAACACCGCTCAGAATCTCTGCTGTTGCTGCAGATAGCTGCCGTGCAAACCTGGCCTTTACATGAGCAGCTGGGAGAGATGAAGGTGAATCCTAAAACAGTACTGCGTATAACTTGCTTTCTATGCCAGTAAATATATTTAATCTTCCTAACAAAGAAAAGCAAAGCAGGCCGTCAGTCAAGTTGGTCAGTGAGCTGTATTATTGCTGCCAGTCTTCATGGGAGGAACGAGACTGCTTGGTACCACAGAGAGAGTATCAGCCTTTCTCCCTTTCCCTCCCCCTTTTTTTAGATGTAAAACATACCCAACTGCAGCCTGGGTTTTTCCTTTGTCTGGGAGAGCAGCACGACACTGAAGGGCCTCAGCATTAAGTGATCTGGGCATGAAATGGGCCAAGAGTGAGTCCCAGGAGGCGGCCATCGTTTCCAGGTCACCCTTGGGATTCAGCACAGGTTGGAAGGTGTCCAGAATATGCCACTACTTGGTCCAGGCGGAGTTGTTTCTTGAACTTTGATTAAGATTTTAATGCACTAGCATCCACAAGAGAAGTAAACCTCACCAGAGACGGAGCTAAGCACCTCTTTCGCAAATCTCCCAGACAGCCGTTGGCAGGGATGGTACCTGGGTGTCCCATCTCCCCAAGGCTGGGCTGAAGCACACTGACTCCTGGCCACAGCACGTGAGGAGGCTGGGGCTGGCCCTTCAGGAGCTACGCTCTGGCTGGGGGACGGGAGGACAGGCCTGGAGCTCTGTGCTGCAGCACTGGGATGCTTCTCCTGTCCGTGCCCCAAAAGGGGTTACATGTGGTGCAGGCATGACAGATAAAGAGAATTTCTTAATGAAGGGTTGTTACCGAGCAGATAATTTTGTTTTAGAGGAAGGCAGTTTAAAAAATGGTGCCTTTGGTTATATAAGTAAATTTAAATTTCTCTTGTTTCCTGCATGAGGAAGCAGTAAGAGATATAGCGTGCATCATTTACATAGTATCAAGCTGCCCGGCTTCCTTTGCCATCCGGGTGAGTGGTGCTGGGTGGGAGGAGGTTGACTCCTCAGTACCAGCACAGCTATGAGCTAAGCTGAGGTCCGTAGTTGATTTTTCCCATTAGCAGTGCAGAGAACCGAAACTGAATACATATTAGCATTAAAAAACTGCATGGTCCTGCATTAATGCTAGCTACAGCGCACTAAATATTACACCACACAGTGGATTTTCAGCAGAATGCATGGGGAATTACATGACCCTCTCTGATCAGTTAACACCCTCACTGGAGCAGACATGGAGCTCTGTCTTAAGTGTTGTTTTTATATTAGATTTTACAATTCAAAGAGCCCAAACTGATGCACGGGCAGCTGTCAGTGTGCATTTTGCTTCTACTTACCAGTTCCATTACTGTGCAGCACGGAAGATGATAAAATTGCATGGTATTTGATTCCATGCACATCACACCAAAAATGTGCCCAAGATAGAACTGTAGCAGTGCTGTTTATTTGCGTGAATGCTAAGTAAATGGGACATTTGAGCATCTTGGTGCACGTTACAGGCTCGATTCTCAGGCATTAATTGTGGGGCACAGCTCATGACAAAGAAGTATGCCCCTGTTTCGTGACCAGTGCAGCCACACTTAACAGTGGAGAAAACTTCTACCCACAAAAAGCGAGGGTTGAGTTGAGACCTACCTAAAAACTGGTATGGATGGAGGTGCTAACGTGGTGCAGGAGTGGAATGAATAACACTTTTTGGAGTACAAAAGCTGTGATTCCTCCAGAGGTTTATTTCTCTTCTTATCTCTGTGAGGCTGGAGTAGCAGGAGAAAAGTCAGGCTGGTGGTAATGTCATGTGCACGCAGAGGGTCACCGGCAGCACCTGCGTTCCTTCTTGTGTCTTAAGACGGTGAGGCCTCTTTGGAGAAGGGGTGTATGCTGCCTGCTCTGCTAAATGAAGCATATGTCAGTACGTGGTGACCCACCGTGGACTTTGCTTTCCAGGATTTCTTGACTGACCTGATGATGTCTGAAGTTGATCGCTGTGGTGAGAATGAGCATCTCATTTTCAGGGAGAATACACTGGCCACCAAAGCAATCGAAGAATACCTGAAGTTGGTGGGGCAGAAATACTTGCAAGATGCCTTAGGTATGTACAGACACTTGGCAAGTCTCACCCACAGGATACGCTTCGGTGAATTTCCTTGTGTTCTGCACTGTGGAAAAAACATCAGCTGAGCACAGATGGCCTTCAGCGTACCGGAGGCACCAGCGTTTTTACCTAGCTGAAGGCTTTTGTGGCAGTTTACTGGAAGCCTAAAGGCTGCAAGCAATTTGCCTAAAATGAAGTCAATTGCAGATGTCCTAGAGGCTACCGAGCCTTCTGCTCCCAGGTGAAGGTCACTGCTGAGTTAGCTCCTTAATCTCCTTTCAGAGGAGATAAGAAATTGATATTTGAAGGCATTATGCTGTCTGCCAAGTCTTCTGTCTCCACACTGGCAGTGTCACGGAGGCCTGATTGAATCCTTTCCCTGATTGCACGCCCCGACTCAGAGACGCTTCCCCCCCCGTTGGTTACTTGCAGTACTAGTGGGTCAAATGAAATCTCCCAAATTACAGTGATGAGAGTTGCTTTCCAGTTCACAGCGGGAACCCTCCTGGTCCATGTTTTTTTTTTTTTTTTTTAAAGGCTGGCCACGCTTATGGCTCCAAAAATATTTCTCCTGATGCAAATGAAAATAATTAGAGCTTCTTTCTCAGGGTAGGTCAGGAAGGAATTGCTGTGCATGGCCAACACAACACAAGGCTGAGGAGGGCCTCTCTTTGAAGCATTATGTCTTAGACTCAGCCAAAGGCAGCTAGATCGGATGCATAGCCTTACAGTAGGCCGGGCCGTATCTCTATCAAACTATTAATTTTTCAGTATGTTGGATTCCTTCTAATGGAGCTGTGTAATTTTAGGAAGGAGCAAAAAATTTAAATACTTTATTAACATAACAATAGTAATTTAAGTTGAGGAAGGGGAAATCATTGAGCCAGTCAAGCCAATGGGCCCTGTGAGATGGGGAAAAAGGATATTATTTGTTTCTGCCTTATGAGGCTTTCTGTTTGAAGGCAAGTCTGTAACTAGATTATCTCGCAGAATTCCTAACAAGCCAGGACATTAATGAAAGGAGAGAATTCCATAATATTCTCCTTTCAGGGCTCAATGCAAACGCTGCCAAGCCGGCTTCATCTAGTATAGGAGGAGCCTGTGGTTCTTGCTTGCTGTTAGGGGCGCTGATTCTGTGTAGACCTTTTATCAGTGAAATGATTCATCTTTATGTCACAAGGTAACACAATACAGTATAGTGCTTTCCTTTAAACCGTGAAGCACAAGCAAGTAATAGGGCAGGGTAATAACAGCAGGCATCACCTGCAGGCAAGCAGAGAGGCTCCAGAACTCCCTGGCAGAGCTGAAAATACATTGGACAGGCTCTCTGGTACATAATTAAAATCTGTTTTGGCAATAGAAGAGGAAGAATACAGACGAGAGTGGGCAAAAAGCAGGATGGGAGGAGATAAGCAAACCAGCTAGAATTAGAAGATGACAAATGGAAATCTTTCCCCCAGAAGAGCACCCTCCCTGTGCGAGGGCAGCCCACGAAGCAGCGTAACCTTCCAGGGAAGCGCTTCTCACGGCACGGCCGGTCTGAGCACGCTTCCTGAGGGGCCCTGTCCACCCTCGCCTAGCAGCCTGGCCTGGCCGTGCTCCTGCAGGACTTGCAGAAGCAGCTAAATACTGCCCGTTAATTCCCTTCGGTATCCTGTCCCGCTGTCTCCCCAGCCACTGCTGTGCGCTAACCAGGATGCGCTAACAGCTGCAGTTCCCAGGTTGCTGGCTGGACACGTGCAGCCGTGGTGGGAGGCACCCTCAGCCCGGGTGGCACTGGTCTGTGCCCACTGTATGCCGGGATAAACGGTGGCATGAGGCTGAGGTGCTGCAACGCAGGGCTGCTGTGCGAACCTGGGAGGGTGAGAAACAGCCAGTCAGCAACCAGGAGTGCAGGGAAACTCAGAGAAATATTTTAATCTAATTTTGTGTGATGCTCAGCTCAAAATAAACCAAGAAAATTGTTTCTGTCCTTTAATTACCTGTTTCTCCTGTGAATCACATTGGCTCGTCAGTGCCAGGGTACTGTTAGGCAGAGTCTGACGGAGTAGGACACCTTACAAATAATTACAGAACTTGCCAACGTACTTTCTGCTGGAGTAGCCCAAGAGGAACACCTCTGAAATTGGTACAATCTGGGGGGCTCAGGGCAGGCTGAGGAAAGCAGTCTTTTGGCACAGTAGTTCTGATGTAATTGCCCACAGCCATGTAGACAGAGCTGCCAGCTGGGGAAGAGGGATAAAACTTGCTCATCCGGAGTTTGGGTGCCTTCCTGCAGGGCTTGCTTTATTGAACTTCCAAGGCAGTGCAGGCTGCTCCCAGCAGCAGGATCCACTTGGAGATCTTGACCGCTGGCTGGGGCACAGCCTTCCCCTGGGAGCCGCCTCTGATTACTTTCCTACTCCCAGCTTTGTTCATCCAACGTGACAGGGGCTGGGCTAACTCCTTGTGCACTGGGGCTTACAAACCGTCTTGCTTGTAGACTGCTTCTCTGGTGTCTCCAAAGTCCATCACTGACTGTCTGTTTTACAGGGGAGTTTATCAAGGCTCTGTATGAATCAGATGAAAACTGTGAGGTGGATCCCAGTAAGTGTTCATCCTCGGACCTTCCTGAACATCAGAGCAACCTGAAAATGTGTTGCGAGCTGGCCTTCTGCAAAATCATCAACTCTTACTGGTCAGTATCCCACAGGTGACGCTTCTCTCCGCATGCCTTTAGTTATTGCAGAAGCAGCACAGCTGTAGAGGAGTGTAGCATGAGCCTGTTGGTATCTGTCTTTTCGTTGTGCTGATGGACATCTTTTCAGAGCGCTTTGGATGAGAGCTGCGGGGCTTTGCGCGTGCCCTGCAGGATGCCGGGGAGCCCCTGTGACTGCTGTCGGAGGCTGCCCTGAGGCACCGGTCTCTGGGAGAAGGGAACTGAGGTGAACACAGACTGGTGTCCAGGGTACTGCCGTGGGTGACACGCTCTCAGGTGCACTCTGCGAACATACACAATACTTCCTCCGACTCCTGTGTGTCTGGCACAGGAATGGGAGAGTTGCTGTGGGTCATGGCTGTAAATAGTGGAATAGTGGAACAACTTGTCAAGAATGGATTTTTCTTCTGAACTGGTTTTGTTTGGGGATGCGGTTCTGCAGAACCTTAAGGCGAGCTAAGGGTGTGTGGCCATGGGTGGACCCTTCCCTCCCCCCTTCCCTGGTGCTTGCTCAGGGACCGGCTTGCTGTCAGTCAGATGTGGTATGGCACCAGCAAGGGAGAGGAGCATGATGGGGATGGGCAGGAGGGAGAGACAGCAGTTCCAGCTCTATCCAAGTTTGGAGTATCTGCTCTGGGGGTCCAACAGAGCCACTGATTCCCCAGCAGGGGCTGCGGCACTCCTCATGCCTGCGAGGAAGCTGTATCAGCCCTGGGAGCTTTGTTCAGGCAGATGTTCTCTGGCTGCAGAGTGCTGGAGCCCTGGAGGCGCCGCAGTTACTTTCTCACTGGACTCTCAGTTGCTGTTTGAGTCAGCATTGTGCATTTCTTGGGGCTAACCTGGCTCCCAGCCCGTGGGGCAGCTTGCTGAGGCAGAGACGGGGAGGTCACTGCTCCACGGGCACAAGGTCTGGTATGCAGTTTGAGGCATTTCGGAGTTCGTTCTCAGAGGGCAGGTAAAGGTTCTTGCAGCTAGTTGGGACAGGCTTGAATAAGCAAAACTGGTGGGAGTAAGGTAGTTTACCTATGTGTGTTGTGGAGGTGACTGTCAAGCCTGGCTGTGCTCACGATGTCTTGTTGCTAGCACTGGGGCCTGGGAGCTAGAAGTCCATAAGGTCTGTTACAGATGCTGCCTTCAAAGATAACCTGAAAGGGGAAAAAATGGGCTTGGGCCCCTCTTTGAGGAATAAAAATGCTGGATTTGTAGTCTTCCTGCTTCTGGACTTTTGTATTGCATTTTGTAACACCACCATTGTTGCAAAACATCAACTACGGATAATTTTGGAGGACGTCTCTGATAATGAAGCCGCTTCTCCTTTTCTCCTCCATTGCAGCTGTTGCATTGAGGTCTGAAAACTCACTATACATAATCTCCTAGGATTCCGAATGTGCCCTCCTGGAAGCCCAGGAAGGAAGGGAATTGCTTTTCCTGATATCACTCAGGGAGAGAACAAGCAGCCAAAGTCTCACTCAGACTTCCTTTATCTACCACAAGAAAGAAAAAGGGCAAATTTCTCGATAGGTCGCCTATACCTTATATTGGGCCAATTAATAATTCTCTGACTCAGGAATTGCACTTACCTGCTTTCCCAGAAGAGATTCACTGCTTTTAGTCACCACTGCATTATAATTGTTTTAATTAGTTTCCTCCTAAAAATCACCAAAGCAACACTAAAAAGGTCAGTCTGAACACAGGCTTGAAAAGTGACCTAAGGAAAGTCAAGAATGCATGGAAAGTTTGTTCCTCCAGCTCTCCCTTTTGGAGGAAGGCCAAAGCCACTGAGCTGCCGCTCGGTAAGCGTTTCTCTCTGTCCTTTGTGCTCAGTGGTTCTTGGGGATTAATTGGGCTGATGATGAGTGTTTGGGATTGGCCGGGGTATCCTGACAGCTAACCATCTTGCTCTGAATAGAGTGCCAGAGTGTGCATGCTCATCTGCTGGAGAGAGTCGGAGAGAGGAAAGAGGTTTACAATAACTGAAAATTGTTATAATTATGACATAATTTGGACATCTGGAAGGTTTCAGTGTAAGCAGAATTTCAGCATGTGGAAGCTCGTTACTGGAAAGTTGGGTAATGAATTATGGACCCGTTTGTCACATAAAGCCAGCTAACTGAATTCTGTCCGCTGTTACACAATTAAACTTTTATAGTCTCTCAGCCTGTGATAGTGAACGTACTTTGTGGGCTGCATGCATCCGGTGCGTCCATTTTCCAGGGTTTACTTTTCAGTAACTGCAACCTGTCCAGATCATTCAAGCCTTAAATTGCTCAAAGGATTCTAGTATTTCTGGGCAAATACCATGAAGTAAAAGGACTTTGTCCACTTGTTTGGATCGAGCCAAAGGCAGAGGAGAGCTTATCCAGCCAAAGAAGTTGGCTCGTGTTATTTATAACGCACAGGGTACAAGCATGAGGCCAACACTGAGCAGGAGCTGAACATGACGACAGCATTTGCCAAGTGCTTCTCTGGAGAGTTGCCCCTTAGGTCAGAGATGGAGAATACTCAGAAACCCTGAGCACAAAGACGCGCACCTCCATACGCACCGTGCCCTGAGTGGCAAATGGGTGCCTGGCAGCCAGGAAGGAGACTGCAGAGGTGCCCAGCTGGCCGCAGTTAACAGCAGTAGCCCCTAGACTGGAGCGTGCCACTGGCCAGTGCAGTGTTCAGCCAACCGACAGCACAAACAAATGAAATAAGGGGTGAGTGCTGTGTGTGCTGCAGCAGAGCAGTGGGAGCCAGAAAAGCCTGGTCGCTCTTGAAGCGTGTGCACTGCTAGCTTGGGTAGCGGCCACAGAACTGGAGGCCATGGACGTTCGGCCGCAGGGCGTGTGACGAAGCACACAACCCAACAGTTCCTGAACTCTGCAGCTGTGGAGAGGAACAGTCAGTTGGGCTTCCTAAGCGAGCGTCCGTAGCCCTGGGAAGCGGAGGCCACAGGACGGGGAGGGCTGGCACCAGGAGGAAGGTCCGAGGTCTGGCAGCACTGCTGCAGCGGAAGCATGCCCAGTTGGGTTGTTCTCTTAACTGTTCCCTCCTTTTAAAGCCTCTCATTTTGTTCTTGCTGCTGCTCGACAGCATTTTTGGCACTGTGTTGTATGGTGTGAGAGCAGGACAGCATCTCTGGCAGTGCGACTCGCATGATTCTTTCTTTCTGACTTGTGTGAGATTCAGCCACAGGGCAGTCAAGTCCAGAGAAGGGGTCAAGCTTGTTACATGCCTGCTCACCTTGCTTTGCTTATCCCAGCTATTTCCTGCAGCAAAACTGAGAAACTGTCCTCTGAAATGGCCCTTTGCTAAGGTGATTTATGGCCTAAAATGGCGTCTGTCACCCTCCTCAGTCTGTTTTCATACCGTCCAGCTCTGTAGGAAAACAGCTTTGGTTTTTAAACAAAGACCATGGTTGCGGGCCAGGGCAGCCCCCTGGGAGGAGGGGGAAGGGGCTCTGTACCAAGGACCTGGCAAGCCAATGGCCCATTGCAGTGGGAGCTGTTGTCAGCCTGCTCCTGCTGGGTGTACCCAGCTGAATAAATAATGTATGATGGGAACAGGATAAGGTGGGAGCAGGGAGCTGGGGAGGGCCCAAGGAGAAATCAGCAGCGAGTTCTCCAGTGATAAGGGCTGCTGCAGCTGGAGTTTGTTTGACCCGTGGGAATTTTGGAATTTAAGAAAGCCAGGCTGAATTCTGCGCTAAGTTACAAGTCTGGAATAACTCTAGTGGGGTTCGGCAGTTATACCAGTCACAGTGGGATTTGACCCAAATGCTTGAACAAGAGTATTGCGTTACATTACAGTATTGCACACGCCTCCCTCCAGGTGTGCCAGTGACCCCAGGTACTGCTCACTGGCTGTGCTGATGGTGTCCCACTGTCCTGGGCGCCAGCTCAGACCCTTTTCCTATGTGGTTTGAGTCTAATTGGAAGCTCTGGAAAAAAAGGACAAGAGCCCGTGACTGGTATAGATAATTGGGCTACTGTGGCTCAACAAGGTGAGAGGGCTCTACTTTTGCACCGAAGGTCTGGGTGTTGTGCCCTATGGCTGATGCATGCCATGTTTAAGCTACTGCTGCGTGGCAGCTTGAACCCCAGGCCTTGAATTTACCGTCTCTGAACGTTCTGTCGTTTCAGCGTCTTCCCAAGGGAGCTCAAAGAAGTTTTTGCCTCGTGGAGACAAGAATGCAGTAATCGTGGCCGTCCAGACATCAGCGAGCGTCTGATCAGTGCCTCCTTATTCCTCCGATTCCTCTGTCCGGCCATCATGTCCCCTTCTCTCTTCAGTCTCCTCCAGGAGTACCCGGATGACCGCACTGCACGCACTTTGACCCTTATTGCCAAGGTTACCCAGAACCTCGCCAACTTTGCCAAGTAAGTTGGGCTGCAGGAGCAAGAGGGGCAAGTCTGAAGAAGAGGAGGAGAGAAACTCCAGACATGCCATTTGGCTAGATGCAAAGCAGAGGGTCAGTGCGCTGGCAGCAGCTCTGCAGATGGCTGGCTTAGGCTCTCCAGGGCAGCAATCGTGTGCAGAGTCCCATGCTGTTCTGCCGCTGTGCTGCAAGTCCAAGCCATAAAGATGCAGTTCCAAGAGGACTGAGTGGGAGTATCAGCAAGGCTTGAAAGAAAAGTGCATTTGGGAGAGGTCCTGGCACTAGCAGCAAGAAGGCCAAGCTGTACAGCGGGTGCTTCTCTGTGTTAGGAGCTGGACCCAGTGCTGGCTACATGGCAGAGCCATGGCTCCTGGTTCAGGAATCCCACACTGGCCGCTCCTCTCCTAGATGGAAAAGGCCTGTTTGTTGTTCTTTTTTTTCCCACGTTTCTCTGGGAGCTGTTCCATCACTGCTAGGTCAGGGAAATCATTTAAGTTTCCAAAACAGCACATGTTTTATGAACAGGAAAACAGGCTATTCTTACCATACAGAAAAGCAGGCTGGACCACAGCAGAAACACCCAGGCAGAGTCAGGATGTTTGTCCTATAATTGCAGCATTGGGTAGGGCTGATGGTCTGCACGCTACCTACCTCCCAGCAGAGGCACCCGTAGGGCCAAACTCCAAACAGCAGCACCAGAGGGCAAAGCTCAGGAGTCATTCTTTTCCTCCAGTGTACAGTGGGACCCTTCCCGTTGTTCAGACGCAGTTGTCTGCACTTGGAGGGCATGACAGGAGAACGGGGACATTATTAATTTCTGACTAAGCCCATAGCTTTGATGGAAACAAAGCAAGAGAGTTCTGAAAATCTTTCCACTGGCTGCAGCTCTGAGCTACTTATCCTGAGCTCTGATAACAGTGATGAGCTTTTGGAACTATGAATGGACAGTTTCCATCTAAAGCTTCTTACATCTGGAAACTGGCTTAGTACGCACGCTCACAGGAACGCATGCGCATATACACAAACCCAGAAGACATACAAGTGTGTTACACTAGATGACAGAAATTCTCCATATTACTGACCAATCCCTAACTAAAAGGTTTTCAGGTTTTCAGCACTTTGCAAGACTGACTCTTTTAACTAAGCTGACATTATTCAAGCAAAAGTGATCAAGCTGAGCTGTCCTGCAGACTGCACACAGCCAAGCCTCTCCTCGCACAATTGCTGTCCCTGTCCCCGCACGAACCGTTGCTGGTACAATTGAATCGTGAAGCTCTGCTGTGCTCTAGATAAGACATCTGAGAGCAGACTGTGTGAAGTGATAGAAGGGGAAAAGAGGGTGCAGAGAGTCTGACGGGGCAAACAGGCTGAGCCAGCGGCAGGTGTGGATCTGCAGGGGATCCACGGGGTGGTCATGCCAGGGACGCTGCAGCATTGCAGGGCTGGGGTTAGCTTCTGTGCCTGTGGAAGGGAGGGGAGGTATCAGGAGCCACTGGTGCCAGTCTTGTCAGAGACTTTTCCTGAGACCGATGGTTAGGCTCCTAGACCCTTAGGCCAGTAAAAAGAAACAGCACTAGGCTGAATACTGACCTTTTCACATCAGTGTTGTCATTATACTGAAATGGACTGTGTAGCCCAATCAGTTTGTCTTTTGTCCCTCTAATTCCCCTTATCTTGCCATTAGTGTATTCAGAGCCTGACTCCTGTCACACTCTCATGCCAGACGCATCCTCACGTTGTGAACTTCTGCGCTTTGGGACTCTTCACAGACAGCGGAGACACTGTTCCTTCTCTCTGACAGAAGACGTGCCAGAAGTGGCATGCTGTATTAACGCACCAAGGTGGCAGCAACGTGCGGGGGCTCAACCAGCTCTGACGCTTGGCACGTGTTGGATGGAGGCAGGAGTTAGAGGGCCTTTGGGTGTTGGTCTTAACATACTGGGAATGAGAATACAGAGTATTTGCGGTGGTGCGATGGTTTCAGTTGCCTGGTGATTCCGGCTCATATTGATCGTAACAGGATAGTCTTTCCTGTGAATTCTAGGTCCTTTAGAAATGCTACAGATGAGGGGGAAAAAAGGAAAATGAGTATTTTTCCAAATTTGAGTTTTGGATTTGCACATAGGTGTGTCAAAGCAGCAAAAATCAAGGTTGGCATTGAAAGTTGAAAGAAGCAGCAGTGATAACAATGTGGATCACAGACTCAGATCTGGACCTCTCTATTTCTTAATCTCCGGACTAGGTTGGGCTGGGTGTAACCATCTCTTTATTTCCAGCAACGTCTTACGTGCGGAGGCCATACCCTGTCTCTAGCCTTCGCGTTTATTTCTACTGCTCGTGATCCCATGCTGATGAGCACCTAGCTGGGCTAGACTCGACTTGATTTTGACTGCATGTTTAGTGAGGTACCAGTTAAGTGAAAGTACCAATGAGGTACCAGTTAGGTAAGAGTTAAGTGCTTGCTGCAACCTAGTGATCCCAAAGGCTTCGAAAGGGCTTAGATGCTGGAGGAAAGGCTCTAGCATTCTTCTCTGCATACGTGCCTGACTGTTCTGTTGACTATACCTCTGTTTACAGGGTTTAGCTAGATTCATATTCCTGTCTTGACAGGTTTGGCAGCAAAGAGGAATATATGTCCTTTATGAATCAATTTCTGGAACATGAATGGACTAACATGCAGAGATTTCTGCTGGAGATTTCCAATCCGGAAACCATCTCAAACACAGCTGGCTTTGAAGGCTACATTGACCTGGGCCGGGAACTCTCTACTTTGCACTCGCTACTCTGGGAAGTCATTTCTCAACTGGAGCAGGTATCTGGGGGAAATCGCAGGGGCAGGCTTTGAGGGAAGTGCAGTTGGCCAGTGCTGGGCATTTGGGCCACACCACACCACACACCTCCCACATGTCCAGCAGGTATCAGTCCATTAGCTGTATCTGTGCATAGCATAGCTGTTACTAACACTTAGCACTTCCACAGCCTTTGCCCATGCTGCAGAAGTAGCTTACTCTTCACATCTTTCTCTGAGGCAGGTGAGTATATATTTTTTTTCTGCTGTTTATCACGTTTTGGGGGGATGAGGAGGATGGAGGGGCAGATGGGATGAGAAAGCAGAGCTGCTGAACATCAGGCCTTTTGTCAATCCCAGCAGATTCAGAAGGCTCATTTTTAATTAAAAGGATTTCTGTCTAGAAACCTGGACCAGACCTGGCCAGAGCTGTCTTTTTTTCTGTGTCTGTAATATGCTTTCGGCTAAGAATGCTTGCTTCTTCCCACCCCACAGCAGCAAATGGCTTCTGGAGCCACATCCCCTGGGGCAGTCTGTAGCCTCAACAGTGCGGGTAAATGATGGAGAAAATTAATGCTGCTAACACACAGTTCACTGCAGAGACTGCCCAGCAACTGACAGATCCCACGGTTCTCTAACAAGAAAGCAAGATGTTTGTAATAATTCTACCCTCCTTTCTCCCCAGGGCACTGCAGCAAAACTTGGGCCTCTGCCTCGGATTCTGAGGGATGTCAATTCGGCGCTCAGTAACCCGGCCTGTGTGCAGGTCTCAGTCACAGCTGATCACGCTGCATCCACTCCTAATGCTGGCAACAGCATCTCTGCTGGACTACAGAAAATGGTGATAGAGAATGACTTATCTGGGTAAGAACATAAGAGGTGGCCTGGCCACAGACCAGGGAAATACCAAATGTTCAGCTACTACTAAAAACCAAGCACCTGCAGGGACAGGCAAAACAAGGTGTAGTGTGGAGTCACCTGATCCATTGGCTAGGCTTTCAGACTGCAAAACTGGCACTGCATGTAGTTAGTCGCGTTGCCAGTCAACGGGCAGTAGCGCAAGTAAGTGGCTCCATCCTGGATCCATCGTGAGCCGAAACAGGAGGGTTGATTGGGGAATCAAGAACTTTGTTGTGGTCTCCGCTCTTGGCGTGTGGTTGCAGAAACAAAATGCTCCCCCTTTGAGAACTTGAGGACTTGCTGATTCCATCCCTAGGGTGATAACTATCACCATTAAATTCATTAGGTCTCCGAGTGCGCAAGACGTATAGGATTGACCTTATCCAGGACACGTGCTGAATTTAGGGAGATCCAAGTCCAGACGTTTCTCTAACAGTCTCCAAGTTAGAGAGGCTTAATATTATCAATTCCAGTCTATTCTGTCCTGTTTTTATAATGCTGGCTATTTTTAAAGAGCAGTGATTCACAGACACAGTCACGCAACACACTTTTTGGCCTAGTTACGTAAGCGCTTTCATTCATAGGGAAGATTAGTCTATTGCAGACCTACAATGTTTCTGTTTGTGGAAACTGAAGTAGAGCCTACACAAATTGAAAGACTGCTAATAAAAGAGTTTGTAAGTGGAAACTACGTGTTATTTAACAGTTTAATTAGGAATGAAAGGCAGCAATAGAGCTGGACTTGCTGTAATCAGAGCTTTCATCTCTAATGCTTCCCAGCATGAGGTACAGTTATTTAAAGCTGTGGAGAATCTCTGACAATACGCTTTCTCCCAAATACTTGCTTGTAGTACACCCGTTTTGATCAGAGGCTATTCACATTAAGCTACTTACTGCAAAGCTCTTTCTTCTTATCCGCTCAAAATCAATATTGCCTGAATGTATCTGTTACAGCCGGAGGAACGGGTGGATAACCTTCAGCTGCTAGGATTTAGCTCTGCTGCTGCCTCGAAAGCAACAGCCGGAGTTGTTATTGATACTAACTGTTAATTATTTGCATTGCATGGACCCCTGGAGGCCTAGTCGTGGATCAAGACCCCACGGTGCTCCATGCTGTACAAATACTGGATAGCATGCCCCCAAGAACTTACTGCCTAGGTATAAAGCAGGGAACAAGAGACTGGCTGCAGCAAGTTGGAAGCAGAGACTATGACACACGCTGGAAAGCATAATGAGCAGATCACAGCTAGTGAGGCACAGCCTCTGGGAGCGCGTCCCTGATTGCCTCCTATGCACAGCCCTCTCCATCATGCACACTCACACCCCTTGCTCACCTGTCTATACCTGCTTGTTTCCTACAGGGTTGACCCAGGACTTCTATGCACTCTTCTGTCCTCCCTGCACTCCTGTTGCACTGTTCCTCTGCACAGGCAGGGCCTGGCCTGGCCTGGCCTGGCCTGGCCAGCTGGGGCAAGCCCTGGCTCTGTGCCCTGCAGGGAACTTAAGTTATGTCGCTGTTCCCATAAGGCTGCACCATGCTGATTTCTTCTGAGAGATAACGTTTTCCTGCTCCGGTGCAGCATTCACAACTCTTCTTTTTTTTTTTTTTCTTTTTTGTTTTCCTCTCCTCTTCCTTATGCACTGACTTCCCCGCAGTCTGATAGATTTCACACGGTTACCATCTCCAACCCCTGAAAACAAGGACTTGTTTTTTGTCACAAGGTCTGCTGGGGCTCAACCCTCACCTGCCCGAAGCTCCAGTTACTCAGAGGCCAATGAGCCCGACGTGCAGATGTCTAATGGCAGCAAGAGTTTGTCCATGGTGGACTTGCAGGACAATCGGCTCTTGGACAGTGGAGCAAACGCACCTGGCACTGACTCCCTCAATGACAGTCAGTCATCCCTTGGGCAGCTGCAGGGCGTATGGACCACACGGACTCAGCAGAATAGCGTGACAGGCATGGCCACCGTGCGCCGCGTGGGCCAGACCCCCACCACGCCGAGCGGCGAGAGCGCTCCCGGCCGGCCTCAGCTCCTGGCACCCCTGTCCTTCCAGAACCCCGTGTACCAGATGGCAGCCGGGCTGCCACTCTCGCCCCGCGGCCTGGGCC